GGCGTGGTTGCGGGTGCCTGTAATCCCAGTTACTCGGGAGGCTGAGGCAGGAGAATCGTTTGAACCTGGGAGGTAGAGGCTGCGGTGAACAGAGATCATGCCATTGTACTCCAGCCTGGGTGGCAAGAATGAAACTTTGTCTCATAAAAAAAAAAAAAAAGAAAAGAAAAAAGAAAAGAAAAAAGAATAGCTGCCTTTGAATCATGTTGAGGATTAAATGCCATGGTAGATGAAAACTGCTTTGCAAACACCAATATGTCATACAACGGGAGAGTGTTTTATTTTCTGACTCTTTAAAGTTGCCCTGGGTGATTTGACTGTCTGCAAATAACTCAAAGTTAATGAGTTTATTTTTTAGACACAGTGAGGACCTTTCTTTGGTAGTTTAATAAGTAATGTGTTTGCATGCTGCTAGATCACCTGCTGGCAATTTGGCAGTTTACAAAATCCTTTCTTCCACATTATTTCAACTAGGACGCCATTGGGCAAGTTACTAAAACTCTCTCTAAACCTTAGTTTTCTAATCTTTAAATGGTAGAGATACCTACTCACAGTGTTTTCGTGGTGATTAAATAGGCATGGTGGCTCACACCTGTAACCCCAGAACTTTGGGAGGCCGAGGTGAGCAGATCACTTGAGGTCAGGAGTTCGAGACCAGCCTGGCCAACATGGTAAAACCCTGACTCTACTAAAAAATACAAATTAGCCGGCCGTGGTAGCAGATGCCTATAATCTCAGCTACTAGAGAAGCTGAGGCAGGAGAATCACTTGAACCAGGGAGGCGGAGGTTGTAGTCAGCTGAGATCATGCCACTGCACTCCAGCCTGGGAGACAGAGCGACATTCCGTCTCAAAAAGAAAAAAAAAGAAATTACTATTATGACTTCTGGGCCTTTGAGATTTTTGTTGCTAAATCATGAATAAGCACAATCAAAAACACATATCTTTTCTTTTTTCCATGGTTATTACAGTTCTAACCTTTGCGGGTTTTAGGAGAATATTGCCTTTGATGATGAGTTTTACAAGAAGATAATATAATGACAGAAAAGGATATATGTTAGGGACAGTGATAGAGATGAAGTGAGGAACACGTTTTCCAAGTTTTAGTCTATTGTACACCAGCCTGCCTATTTTTCAATATAGTGATGTTTCACCTTTACTATTATCTACTTAATTTTTTTTATTATTTGCCTTGTTTTTTTTTACTCAAATACATTTTTTTTAATGTCATGGTAGATGATAACTGCTTTTCATCAGCCTCCCAAAGTGCTGGGATAACAGGAGTGAGCCACCATGCCCATTTATTCCTCTCAAAAATCCCTCTAAGTAGGTACTAGTATGTCCACCATTTAAAGATTAGAAAACTAAGGTTTAGAGAGAGTTTAAGTAACTTGCCCAATGGCATCCTAGTTGAAATGATGTGGAAGAAAGGCCTTTGTAAATGGCCAGACTGCTTTTCCCAACATCGGCAGTCTTCCTGGGGTCAGTAAGACTCTAGATGTCAAAACATCAGTTTTGTATTTTCAGTAGAGACGGGGGTTTTGCCATGTTGGCCAGGCTGGTTTCGAACTCCTGACCTCAGGTGATCTGCCCGCTTCAGTCTCCAAAAGTGATGGGATTACAGGCGTAAACCACCGCGCCTGGCCTCTCACATACATTTTTAAGGGAGTCTTTACACTCATAAATGGAAAACCAGTGCCATTTGATAGAAATCACAAATAACTAGAAAAATAAAAGCAATCCCATTCCAAAATGTCACTAAATTCTAGCGAGATGTTACTGTTTGCCAAGGCTCTCAGCCCAAAGCCTACTCCTTTTTTGTTAAAAAATGGGAGATTGGCATGTGTTAAGAGTTACAGCATTCTAGAACCACACTGAGATTTTCTCCTTTTGTTGCTCATGAGCACTGCAGGAGAGTTGGAAAGGGAATGCCTTTCTCATTTGGAACTCAGTGCTGTTCAATGCCTTGTCCCTACAGAACCTCAGAACTTGAATACCATGGGGGAGGAAGAAAAAGGCGGGGAAAGCATAGGGTATGCCCTAAATTTGGGACACGCTAGCTTAGGGCATGCTGAATACCATCTGTTGGTTTAGCAGGTGGATGGGTGATTTCTCTATAAAATCTCCTTTTCAGAGCTGGGAAGAAGGCAGCTGAGGATACTGGGTATGGTGGGAATCTGCCTAATTTGCTGGGATGGAAGCAGGCCCCCTCTGTATTAGTTGGCTGGAGCTACCGTAACAAAGTCCCACACACTGAGTGGCTTAAACAACAGCAATTTCATATCTCACAGTTCTGGAGGCCAGAAGGCCAAGATCAAGATGCCGGTGGCGTTGGTTTCTTCTGAGGGTCATAAGGGAGGGATCTGTCTCAAGCCTCTTTCCTTGGTTTATAGATGGCCATCTTCTTCCCATGTCTTTACATGGTCTTCGTTTCTCTGTGTGTCTATGTCCTAATCTCTTCTTTTTTTGTTGTTGAGATGGAGTCTTGCTCTGTTGCCCAGGCTGGAGTGCAATGGCACAATCTCGGCTCACTGCAACCTCCGCCTCCCAGGTTCAAGCGATTCTCCTGCCTCAGCTTCTCAAGTAGCTGAGATTACAAGCATGCGCCATCATGCCTGGCTAATTTTTGTATTTTTAGTAGAGATGGGGTTTCACCATGTTGGCCAGGCTGGTCTCGAACTCCTGACCTCAGGTGATTCACCCGCCTTGGCCTCCCAAAGTTCTGGGATTACAGGCGTGAGCCAGCATTCCTGGCCTCCTAATCTCTTCTTTTAGGGTCACCAGTTGTACTGGATTAGGGTCTCCTACGGTGATCTCGTTCTACCTTAAGCACCTCTCCAAGGCCCTGTCTCCAAATACAGTCACGTTCTGAGATATTGGGGGTTAAGGCCTCAATATATGGATTTTGGGGACACACAATCCAGGCCACAACATCCTCTTTCTCTTCCTTCCAAGCATCCCAGATTCACCCTGACTCCTTTTGTCTCCCCCGGCCTCTGACACTCACCCTCTCTCCCTCGCAGGATTGGAATCTTCTTCTGCCCCCTGCTGCCCCTTATCCAAATGATTATGCTTTTCATCATGTTCTACACCAAAAACGTGAGTCAGTCCAACGTTGCCATCAGTTAGCTTTGTTCAGTCGCCTGTGACCTGGTGGCGCTTAAAGCTGGGGAAGGGGGCTCTGTAAAGGTCTCAGGAAGCTGGGCCTGGCTGGGGTCCCTCTGCTGCTGCTCTGGCTGCAGATGGGAGGTGGCTGCCTCTCTCTCTTCAGATCAGCCTGATGATGAATTTCCAGCCTCCGAGCAAAGCCTGGCGGGCCTCACAGATGATGACTTTCTTCATCCTCTTGCTCTTTTTCCCATCCTTCACCGGGGTCTTGTGCACCCTGGCCATCACCATCTGGAGGTAGGCGAAGGTGGCCTTGGGGGAGGTAGGAGAAGGTGGCCTTGGGGGAGGTGTTAGAGACTGGGTGGATGGGTGTGTGTTTTAAAATGTAGGTTTTATTATAATTCAGGTGTGGTGAGGCCAGGCGCAGTGGCTCACGCCTATAATCCCAGCACTATGGGAGGCCGAAGCGGGTGGATCACTTGAGGCCAGGAGTTCAAGATGAGCCTGGCCAACATGGTGAACTCGTCTCTACTAAAAATACAAAAATTAGCCAGGCGTGGTGGTGCATGCCTGTAATCCCAGCTGCTCAGGAGGCTGAGGCAGGAGAATCGCTTGAACCGGTGGAGGTTGCAGTGAGCCGAGATTGCACCATTGCGCTCTAGCCTGGGCGACAGAGTGAGACTCTGTCTCAATAAATAAATAAATAAATAAATAAATAAATAAATAATCTAGGTGTGGTGAAGCCCAACAGGTCAGGAATGACCACCACTAGAAAGACAGTTTATTACTCACAGTTCCTGAGAAGGGGGAGGCACTCTGTGCCACAAAGGACCACAGAGGGAAGCATCGGGGTAGGTCAGGAGGCAGAGGGAGTGAGGGGAAACGTGGGCTAGAGCCTTTCTTGTGGTTTTCTATGGTAAGGAATGGGCAAGGCAGGGGAAGCAGGTTTAGGGTTGGCTGGTTTGTCAGTAGGCTATGGGATGTGGATCTGCCCTCAGTTGTCTGGCACTTGGCCCTGGGGTGATTAGGGCAGGGGAGTGGTGGCCCAGATGTGAGAGCCTGATAAAGGGGGCAGTTGGGGGTGTGGGATCTGGATCGGTTGGTTTGCATTTGAAAGGTGGGCTTTGTAAGCTAGCCCAAGGAAGGGCAGCTAGCCCAGGGAGCTGGAATCAGTAAGACCCCAGATGTTAAAACATCAGAATAAAAAGACATGCTTAATACAGTGTCTAACCTAAGTTCCCTGGCTAACCAACAGACACTAAAAGCCAGGGAGGGAGTACATCCTCGTTTGATCACCACCCATCTGACAGCCATAGTCAGGAGTAGCTTTCTCACTTCTGCCAAGAACTGAAGCTTCCCAGAACGGGGAGATGCCCCCGCACCCTGTTCCTCCACATCCGGAACAGAACTTCATCTAAATTAACAGAAAGGCAGGATGGACCCGGCTCCTCCCACCTCTACAACCCCACCTCCCTTTGGCTCCACTGTACCCTACCCCACCGCCCTCACCTCATTCCTGGAAGCCAGCAAGCCCCTCCCAACATGGGCAGAGTCCTCTGAGTGAAGTCCTCTCCCCACTCCCTTTGCTTGGCTGCCTCCTCTCCACCCTCTGATTCTCAGCTCCAAGGTCCTCTCCAAGATCTGACCTTCACAGCCCTCCTTGTCTGCTCTCAGTTCCCCACTGCTTCTCTCTCTCCGGCCTGAGTTTCTTTCCTTCATTCAATCATTCATAATCAGGAATGCCTCTGTGTGAGTCTTTGTTTAATTGTTACTCAACGATTGTCCATTTTTCCCACCAGAACGTAAGCCCAATAGGGCAGGAACTTGCTTAATGTGAAGTCCCCAGAGCCTGACTAGAATAGTGCTTAACAGAATAAACCATGGTTGATGAACAAGGGAGATGGTTTTTAGGACACCCGTGAAACTGGGGCCCTCAGTTCCTTACTCCACAACATTCTTGCTCCTCTTGGCGTATCCACTCTCTTCTCTCTCTTCCTCACCAGTTCCTTGTTGCCCTATAGTTTCTGCTCATTCCTCCATAGCTAACAGGCTTCCCTCTTTATGCTTCTTCATTCAATTTCTTTCTTTGAGACAGGGCCTTGCTCTGTCACCCAGGCTGGAGTGCAGCGGCACAATCATAGCTCAAACTCCTGGGCTCAAGTGATTCTCCCACCTCAGCCTCCGAAGTAGCTGGGACTATAGGCACACATCACCATGCCTGGCTAATTATTATTATTATTATTATTTAGAAATGGGGGGTCTCACTATGTTGCCTAGGCTGGTCTTGAACTCTTGGCCTCAAGTGATTCTCCTGCCTTGGCCTCTCAAAGTGCTGGAATTGCAGGCGAGCCACCATACTTGGCTTTAATTCAAGTTCTTTTTTAGACAGCGTCTTGCTCTGTTGCCCAGTCTGCAGTACAGTGGCGTGATCACAGCTCACTATAGCTTCAACCTCCTGGGCTCAAGCGATCCTCCCACCTCAGCCTCCTATGTAGCCAGGACCACAGGCATGTGCTGCCATGCCCAGCTAATTCTTTATTTTTTTGTAGAGACGGAGTCTCACTATGTTGCCCAGGCTGGTCTTGAACTTCTGGGCTCAAACAATCCTCCCATCTTGGCTTCCCAAACTGTTGGGATTAGAGGCATGAGCCATAGTGCCTGGCCTTAATTCAAGTTCTTAAGAAAAAGAGTCTGATTGCCCCCATTCATATCATTGAGCCAAGTTACCGCAGAAGTCACTGCCTGGCCTTTGGATTGGCTGCTGTTGGGTGAGGTGATCCCTCTGATCTGAGAGCCGGTCCTTGGAGTGCAGGTCACCCCAGCAAGGCTGTGAGCAAGAGGATTTCTTTGGGAAGCAGGTGTGAGTGGATCAGGCAAGACTTGATGTTTTCAGGCCCAGAGCCCAGAAAGGACACCCTGATTTTAAAATAACCATCCCTGAGTCTTGTGCAAGAGATGTTCTTCCATCTTTGTTTGACCAGATTGAAGCCTTCAGCTGACTGTGGTCCTTTTCGAGGTCTGCCTTTCTTCATTCACTCCATCTACAGCTGGATCGACACCCTGAGTACACGGCCTGGCTACCTGTGGGTTGTCTGGATCTATCGGAACCTCATTGGAAGCGTGCACTTCTTTTTCATCCTCACCCTCATTGTGCTGTGAGTGTGGTATCTGGGGAATCTCACAGGGAAAGCCAGGAGCTCTCGGGGGAAACAGCAGTGGGGATGTTTGGTTGGAAAGCAAATGGCTGTAGTATAGCTCAGTGTTCTGGGTGACTCTACCCTTGCATAGGTAGTTTTCCTTCTTCCCTCCCTCCCTCCCTCCCTTCCTTCCTTCCTTCCTTCCTTCCTTCCTTCCTTCTTCCCTCCCTCCCTCCCTCCCTCCCTCCCTTCCTTCCTTCCTTCCTTCCTTCCTTCCTTCCTTCCTTCCTTTCTTCCTTCCTTCTTCCCTTCCTCCCTTCCTTGCTTTCCTTCCTTTTCTTCTTTTCTTTTCTCTTCTCTTCCCTTCCCCTTCCTCCTTCCCTCCGTCACTCTCTCTTTCTCCCTTCCCCTTCTTTTCCGTTCCTTTCCTTTCCCTTTCCGTTCCTTTCTCTTCCCTTTCTGTTCCTTTCCCTTTCTGTTCCTTTACATTCTCTTTTCTTTTCTTTCTTTCTCTTTCTTTCTTTTTCTTTCTTTCTTTCTCTCTCTCTTCTTTCCTTCCTTCCTTTCTTTCTCTCTTTTTGTTTCTTTCTTCCTCTCTCTCTCTCCCTTTCTTGCTTTCTTGCTTTCTCTTTCTCCTTCTTTCCCCCTTCCCTTCCCTTCCCTTCCTTCTCTTTCTTTCCTTTCTCTTTTGGTTGAGATGGGGTCATGATCTATCACCCAGGCTGCACTGCAGCGGCATGGTCTTGGCTTGCTGCAACCTCAACCTTTTCAGGCTCAAGCAATCCTCCCACCTCGACCCCCAAGTAGCTGGGATTGCAGGTGTGTACCACTACACTTGGCGAATTTTTAAATTTTTTTGAGAGATGGGGTCTCCCTGTGTTGTCCAGGCTGGTCTCAAACTCCTGGCCTCAAGTTATCCTCCTGCCTCAGCCTCTCAAAGTGTTGGGATTACAGGTGTTAGCCACCTTGCCCGATCTTGCTTTGATAGTTTTTTTAAAAGTTATTTAGCCTGCTGCAGTGGCTTGTGCCTGTAGTCTGAGCTTCTTGGGAAGTTGAGATGGTAGGATTGCTTGAGCCTAGGAGTTTGAGGCTGATCTCTGTGTTCTCTGATTGTGCCACTGGACTCCAGCCTGGGCAACAGAGCAAGACCTCTTCTATGGGGGAAGGGGGGAAAGATTATATACTATCTTCTTGGCTTAGGGAATTTATTTATTTATTTATTTATTTTGAGACAGAGTCTCACTCTGTCGCCCAGGCTGGAATGCAGTGGTGCGATCTCAGCACACAGCAAGCTCTGCCTCGCAGGTTCATGCCATTCTTCTGCCTCAGCCTCCTGAGTAGCTGAGACTGCAGGCACCCACCACCATGCTTGGTTAATCTTTTTGTATTTTTAGTAGAGACAGGGTTTCACTGTGTTAGCCAGGATGGTCTCGATCTCCTGACCGCAAGTGATCCACCTGCCTTGGCCTCCCAAAGTGCTGGGATTATAGGCATGAGCCACCATGCCCCGTCGTTTTAGGGATTTTTTTTTTTTTAAACTTGTTTTATTAAGAAAGCAATACTGCTGTTCTCCTTTTAAGGAGATGACATGCCCAGAGATGCTAAATTAATTGGTCTGAAGAGGGGCTGTGGCATGGGCTTATTTCCCCCTTCCAGGTGATTCCATGAGCAACCAGGTTGAGAACCATTGTTCCAATGTATTTAAACTATAACTCACCCTGACATGAGTTTTCAAAAACACATTTGGGCCCAAATCCATCTGCAGCACAGATTCCAGTTCCTTTGCATCCAGTGGAAATTCGGAGCCTGCAAAACATTGGCAAGAGTGTCTGTCATTCTTTCTTTTCTCCTCTTCCAGAATCATCACCTATCTTTACTGGCAGATCACAGAGGGAAGGAAGATTATGATCAGGCTGCTCCATGAGCAGATCATTAATGTAAGTCCCCTTGCGTCCCTCTGATGTCCACTGTCACCCTTTTTAAACGCTGTATAAGGGACACTTTCAAACATCCTCCAAAATAAAGAGAATACTACTATGAACTCTCATATCCCTGCCGTCAGCCCTAACAACCATCAGTGTTTTTATATTCTTATTTCATCTACACTTTCTCTTCCCAGCAAATCCCTTATTTTTATTCTTATTAATTATAATGATGATGATGATGATGATGATGATGATGATGAGACAGAGTTTTGCTCTTGTTGCCCAGGCTGGAGTGCAGAGGCGCAATCTCGGCTCACTGCAATTTCCACCTCCAGGGTTCAAGCGATTCTCCTGCCACAGTCTCCCAAGTAGCTGGGATTACAGGTGCCCGCCACTATGCCCAGCTAATTTTTATGTTTTTATTGGAGACAGGGTTTCACCATGTTGGCCAGACTGGTCTCGAACTGCTGACCTCAGGTGATCCACCTGCCTCCCAAAGTGATGGGATTACAGACGTGAGCCACCACACCCAGCCTTATTTTATTTTTTTAGAGGTGGGGGTCTTGCTATGTTGCCCTGGCTAGATTCAAATTCCTGAACTCCTGACTCAGCCTCCGGAGTGGCTGAGATTTCAGGCAGATGCCACTCCACCTGGCTCCCCGGATTATTTTAAAGCAAATCTTAGGCTTTATATTATTTTTTATATATTAAAACTTTTATGTACATCTCTATGAGATAAAGACTTTTATTTTATTTATTTATTTTGAGACACAGTTTCACTCTTGTTGCCCAGGTTGGAGTGCAGTGGAGCAATCTTGGCTCACTGCAACCTCTGCCTCCCGGGTTTAAGCGATTCTTGTGCCTCAGCCTCCCATGTAGCTGGAATTGCAGGCACATGCCACCACACCCGGCTAATTTTGTATTTTTAGTAGAGATGGGATTTCTCCACGTTGGTTAGGCTGGTCTCAAACTTCCAGCCTCAGGTGATCTGCTCGCCTCGGCATCCCAAAGTGCTAGGATTACAGGCGTGAGCCACCACATCCAGCCGAGATAAAGACTTTTAAAAAAACATAACTACAATATCATCATCATACTTAAAAAGAAAAAACTTACCAATAATTTATTATTATCATCTTGTATCCAATGTTTACATTTTCCCAGTTGTCCTCTTAAGTGTCTTTTTATACTAGAACTGTACAATTCAGGATCTGAAAAGGGGGTACATGTTGCATTTGGTTGATGTGCCTTTGTTTCTTTCTTTTTTTTTGTTTGTTTTTTTTGAGACAGAATCTCACTGTGTCTCCCAGGCTGGAAGGGAGTGGCATGATTTTGGCTCACTGCAACCTCTGCCTCTCAGGTTCAAGTGATTCTCCTGCCTCAGCCTTCTTAGTAGTTGGGATTACAGGTGTGTGCCACCATGCCCAGCTAATTTTTTTATTTTTAGTAGAGATGGGGTTTCACCATGTTAACTAGACTGGTCTCAAACTCCTGACCTCAAGTGATCCACCCGCCTCGGCCTCCCAAAGTGCTGGGATTACAGGCGTGAGCTACCGCGCCCAGCCGAAATGCCTAACTTTCTTTTACTCTATAACCATTTACCACCTCCCCTCCCTATTTCCTCTTTTCTTTTTATTCTTAAAGAATGCAGGTCATCTGTTTCATATTTTCCATATCCTACATATATCTTTTTTTTTGTTTGTTTTGTCACGGAGTCTCGCTCTGGGGCACATGCCTATGGGGGATACTGGAAACCATTTTTCCTGGCTATTGAGACGTGGTATGTAAGTTGCTTCCAGCAGCCGACTTCTGAAGGCTACTTTCTCAAGCCTGTTAGGGGAGTTGCTTTAGAGGAGAATATTACAGTGCAGGAAGGCTCTGGGGGATAATTTGGTTTTCCTGTGAAATGTTTCTTTTCTTTCACCAAAAGACGGCAGCAACCTCCATCCAACTTCTAGGACCCTACCTGCCTGAAAATCGACGTTCTTCCCATCAATTGCTTTCTCAATTCCATACCATCATTCATTCATGTTTTTGTTTCTTTCTGGTTTTGTTTTCCTTCTTGGTAGGAAGGCAAAGATAAAATGTTCCTGATAGAAAAGTTGATCAAGCTGCAGGATATGGAGAAGAAAGCAAACCCCAGCTCACTCGTTCTGGAAAGGAGAGAGGTGGAGGTGAGGTTGGAGACTGCCTTGGGGACCCCTGGGACACGAACTTGCCTCCATGTAAAAGGCGCATCAGAGAACTACAGACCGAGCTCTTGGGATCACGGAAGGGCCCTTCACTCTTTGTCTAAGTATTTCTGTGGTTTTTACTTAAAAAGTAATATTCATGGCTGGGCGCGGTGGCTCACACCTGTAATCCCAGCACTTTGGGAGGCCTAGGCTGGTGGATCACGAGGTCGGGAGTTTGAGACCAGCCTGGCCAATATGGGAAACCCCGTCTCTACTAAAAATACGAAAATTAGCTGGGCGTGGCCGCATGCGCCTGTAGCCTCAGCTACTCAGGAGGCTGAGGCAGAAGAATGGCTTGAACCCAGGAGGCGGAGGTTGCGGTGAGCCTAAAGAAAAGTAATATTCATTTATTCAGCACTTTTCATGCCTGTACTTTTTCTAGGTGCTGGGGTTACGGTGAGCAAAACAAAGCCCCTGCCCTCATGGAACTTGCACGTTTATTTTTCACAACCCCGATAATACAGAAGTAGATCCCACTGATATGAAAAGGGCTCTGAAATCTCATCTCACTATGAATACTTCAGTGTCTAGTCTTGCAAATCTATTTCCCTAGGCATCTGCAAACATACCTGTATCTACCAACACTTTACTTGTTTATTACAAAAGTGAGGCTATATTATACAAATAGTATCATAACTTCCCTCCCCCGCAGCCCACCACTTAATACTATATCTTGGACGATGTTTGGATATTTGGGTTGTTTCTATGTTTTTAAATACTCAAAACAGTAGGTAATGAAACATTTTGTTACAATTATTTTTTGTACACTTATAATCGCAGCTACTCAGGAGGCTGAGGTGGGAGGGGAGGACTGCTTGAGGCCAGGAGTTTAAGACCAACAAAGTGAAACCCCATCCCTTAAAAATTTTTAATAATTAGACACGGTGGCTCGCAACTGTAGCCTCAGCTACTCAGGAAGCTGAGGTGAGAGGATTGCTCAAACCCAGGAGTTCGAGGCTACAATGAGCTATGATCCCATCACCGCACTCCAGCTTGGGAGACAGAACAAGACCCTGTCTCTTAAAAAAATTACCCTGGGCGCAGTGGCTCCCTCCTGTAATCCCCAGCACTTTGGGAGACCAAGGCGGGCATATCACTTGAGGTCAGGGGTTCAAGATCAGCCCGGCAAACATGGTGAAACCCATCTCTACTAAAAATATAAAAAACAAAAACAAACAAACAAGAAAACTGAGCTGGGTGTCGTGGTGCACATCTGTAATCCCAGCTACTTGGGAGGCTGAAGAACAGGAATCACTTGAACCCAGGGGGTGGAGATTGCAGTGAGCCAAGGTCGTGCTATTGTACTCCAGCCTGGGCAACAAGAATGAAACTCCATCCCAAAAAAAAAAAAAAAAAAAAATTAAAAAGTATTTTTGTGAATATTTCTACCACAAAGCATGTACATGACAATATTAATAGATATTGCTATATCATTCCCTTAAAAAGATTTAATCAATTTCATTCTTACCAAGAGAATATAAAGATACATGAAACCCTGCTCTAATTCCAAAGCCTTGCTTGCTTCCTGAGTGTCCTGAAAGTACAGATGAACAGTAAATCCACCTTAATGCAAATGCCACTCATGTTGGAAATTGTGATCTTGACAGAAGTGACTGACATGTAATTTACCATCTGTGCAAATTTATACTGTCAGCACAATTTGGGTAAGGGATCTAGAGGCCTAAAGGTAGATCCTCTGAAGGTGGGGACCATGTCTGTGCACTTGTCACCCCAGGTCCTAATTTATTACCTGGCATAATATGAATGCTCAGTGAATATCTATGGAATGGCCGGGCACGGTGGCTCACGCCTGTAATCCCAGCACTTTGGGAGGCTGTAGTGGACAGATCACTTGGGGTCAGGAGTTCGAGACCAGCCTGACCAACA